CCAATCCACCCTATCAAAAGCCTTCTCCTGGTCGAGGGAGAGAATAGCGACCGGAGAATCAAAAGTCGTAGCGTAAGAGACAACGTCTCGAAGGAAGGCAACATTCTCGCCTATATAGCGACCAGGAACCCCGCACGTCTGATCTTTCTCGACAACCAAATGAATGACCTTCAGCAAACGGCCAGCGATGGCACGAGCAGCAATTTTATAATCAACGTTAAGAAGGGAAATCGGACGCCAATTGCGGGCATCCAGGCGGTCCCCCTTCTTAAAGGTCAGAGTAATGATACCCCTGCGCTGAGAGAGAGACAAAGAACCAGAACGATAGCAAGAGTTAAGAACATCCACCAGGTCAGAACCCACAACGTCCCAAAACTTCACATAGAATTCCATTGGAAAACCATCCAAACCAGGGGCCTTACGGTGGGCCATACCAATAAGAGCCTTATGGCACTCGTCCAGAGTAAGGGAACCCTCACATTCCAAGGCCTGACCTGGGGACAGGGAAGAAGAGACATTACTCAGCAACTCCTGCTGAGCAACAGGGTCAGTAGGAGAAGACGTAAAGAGAGAAGAATAGAAAGACGAAAAGGAAAAACACAAGTCAGCAGGGGAGGACACAATAGAGCCATCCTCGCCTCTCAGCGCAGAGATCCATCGATCAGCCCCTCTCTTCTTTTCCAAACGGAAAAAATAGGCTGAAGACGTCTCACCCTCCTCCACCCAGCGAGCACGAGCACGAATCTGAGCACCCCTAGCGGCATCAAGATCAAGAGCCGCAAGCTCCCCCAAAACAGATTGATAAACCCCAAAGATTGACAAAAAACCCTCATCCACCTTAGACTTAAGGTGAGCCGCAAGATTGGACAAGAGCTCCCTCCTCTGAGAAGAGACAGAAGATCTCTGGCAGCAATAACGGATGGTGAGGGCCTTAACACGGGACTTGCCTTCTTCCCACCACTTCGCCAGCGAAGGGTAGAGGCCCTTCATATTGCGCCAACCGGACCAGAAAAGAGAAACAGCCGAGACATATCCCTCATCTTCTAAGACAGATGTATTAAGCTTCCAAAGGCCAGGCCCAGGCGGGACAACGTCAGGAACAGAAACACAAAAGAGGACAGCACAGTGGTCAGAAAAAGGACAGGGGATGACTTCACAAGACGAGACGGAAGACACCCAGACATAGGGACAACCAACAAAATCAATACGAGAAGCCAAAGTGCCATCAGAACTGGTCCACGTAAAACAAGAAGAGGAGGGATGCAGGTAGCGCCAGATATCAACGCAACAGCACAACTCGAAAAGATGGGATAGGGCAACAGAGCTCTCCCTAGAGATGTCAGCGGTGTCAGATCCAAAGCGGTCAAGCGAGCGATCGAAGACCGCGTTAAAGTCACCACAAACCACAGTAGGAACGGAGGGGTCAACAAGTGAGGGAACTTGCTCAAAGAAATCATGCCTTGCAGGGTTCCGGTTAGGAGCGTACAAGGAAACAACACGGAAGGATTTTCCACAATAAGCAAACTCGCACTGAAGGAAACGACCATCATCATCAGACCACGACTTCACAAAAGACAACACAGGACGATAGAGGATAATACAGCCACAGGATTTGTTAGAGCCAGGAGACACCACAGACAGATAACCAGAAGAACGAAACCAAGACTGACACTCCACATCACTCACACAATGTACCTCCTGGAGGCACACAATATCAGGGACAACAGAAAGAGCCTGCAACCATTGAAGTAGGCCCAACCGTTTATCAGAACCTCTAATACCGTTAGTGTTAAGAGTAATAACCGAAACCGCCATTTTAGGAGTGTTTAGAGGACTGACGACGGGGACGACCCGCTTTGAACAAGGTCTCGTCCGCAGCAGCCCGAACGGCAGCAGAAAGGCCCTTACGAGCAAGAGTGAGAGAAGGCTTTGTCTTCTTCCGAAGAGCTGGGCCCTGCACAACAGAGAGACGAGGAGCCGCATTGGCGACCTCCTCTGAGACAACTACGTCCTCCCAAGATGGAGAGGGATCATCACTAGAACCGTCATCATTAGCTGGCCGCTTGCTTCCCTTGACAGATTCATAATCCATTTCAGCCGAAACGGCAACACCAGAACTCTCAGGGACCAATTTGGAGGGAGCAACAGAAGCACCATCAAATTGCTTTAGGGTAGTTTCACTAGCATTAGGAGCACTATTATCACTATTGTCATTATTAATACCATTGTTGTTTAAAGTAATATTGCCAATACTATTGTTGTTTAAGGGACTATTGTCATTACTAGTACCATTGTTGTTTAAAGTACTTTCACTAACATTAACTTGCTTTAAAGTATTTCCCTTGATGGTACCATCACTAACATTAAGTTGCTTTAAAGCATTTCCATTAATAGTATTTCCATTAATAGTACTTTCATTGTCGTTAACTTGCTCATTATTAATACTAATGTTGTCTAAAGTACTTTCACTAACATTATCAACATTGACTTGTTTTTGGGTACCGTCATCACCCTGTTTTGGAATTACGCCACTATCAATGCTACCAGCATCACCCAGAGTGGAGTCAGAGCTCTCACAACCATCTCCCATAGCAGGTTCATCTTCACCTCCGCAATCGGCCTCATCCTCAGACTCCTCACCGGAAGACGAGGAAGAGACAGCAGAGAGAGCATCAGCAAACACCTGACTATCCAATTCATCAAGCTGATTATCCCGCAGGTCCTCAGCAGAAGAGGCAGCTGCCTCAGCAGGGGTGGGCTCAGCATTTGCAGAACCAACATCAGGGGGAGGGTCCCGGGCATCCCACGCAGGACGATTGCAATCCCTCGCCAAATGACCAGGCTCTCTACACCGGCGGCATTTGCCACGGATAGGACATTGAGAGAGCACATGACCAATTTCACCACACAAGTCACACGTCACGGGTTGCCCCCTGTACCACGTTTTGCAATTGAAACCCCCAATTACCAAATTACGGGGGACATGCTTATCTAGAAAGATGTCGACAAGGCGGGTGCCCGTTTGAATATCCGGCAAACCCACCCAATGCTGTCGTTTAACTCCCTTGACAGTACCAAAACCCATCAGCACCTTTTCAACATGACAGTCAAACGCTTCAGAAGGATAATGGTGCACCTGCACCGTTACAAAACGCCGCTCCGCGAAAATTTTGCAAGAGCGACCACCCAAAGAAATCTTGTCATGCCGCAGCAAGTTTTGCTTAGCAGCGGCATCCCTGAAGGTAATTCTAGCGATCCCCCGAGGGAGAATTTGGATAGTGGGAGTCCCAAAATTCTCATGGTATTTACCATGAATGAGCTTAGCAACATCCTCCCGGGAATGCGATTCCATAAAACAGGACACGTCCACAGAGAGGGTACGCGTAAAATTCCTAGACCCCATGATAGAGGAAAAAACCAGAGAAGAAGAAAAAAGAAAAAGAAAAAAGTTAAGCCCTGACGGGCGGGGCCCAAAAAGGGACGGGCGACCACCCAAAAACCCAGGAAAAAACTTACAAAGATCGAGGCTTGAAACTTGCAAGTAGACTACCAACCAAACCACGACAAGTAAAGACCACAGCACCAAAGACGGCGGTAGCAACGATGGCCAGTACACGCTTTTGGAAGAAGCGGCGACACTCACCAAGCCAGTTCCCTACGACGAATTTCTACCACAAGGGCAGAGTTTCCGCGTCGCGAAAAACAGCGTCAGGTAAGTATGAAAAGCTAGGACCAACGGCCGGCAGCGGAAAAACTGCTTTCCTCTTAGGGCCCTTGTGGTAACTGCGCAAGTCCAGACGGCCACAGGACTCCAGTTATGTGACCGACGGCTCGCCTAAATAGAAGCCTGACGCGGGGGACACCAGTGAGCCACAGGGTACCCAGATGTTAAAAAACAAGCAAAGGAAAAAAAATATGTCTCTTATTAATTGAATATTTCTTCCCCAAGGGGAAGTGGGCCGCACTCGGAGGTAGTGCTATACCGAGGCAACCCGTGGCTGGGACGAGGCAAGCCTCCTTTCCACAGCCCAATTCCAAAAATCAGTTTAATATATGAGCTGCTCAATGAGCAGCGTATCAGATATTAAGCTGATAAGAACAGATTTTCTGTTTTAAAAATTTTATTCAAAAATCAATCACACTAGAAACTATTTACAAACACTGGCAAAATAAACACAAGATTACAGAACTCTAAAGAAGCTATAGCAAACACATGACATGTGGGAACTCGCAGTAAGGATTAACAAAGTCAATTACTAATTAATTTGTCCAGGAAATTTCCTCGGCTCTCCAGGGCTTAATCTCGGGAGATGATTAGCAGGTACAATATCACTAAAGTCAGTGAAGTCTGGGCGGGAACAAAAAAGGTGTACATAACTCACAAATCGATCATACTCAAAAGATGTGGTATCTCTAAGAATCTTCACTGAAAAATTACCAAAGTCAATACGCGAAACACCGTGCGGGCTCTCTGAATCTTTAAACACAACCGCATGACTAGTAAGAGATTTCGGAATCCACACCGTAGGAGCTCTAGCAGCAGAAGTCTTAGAACGGGAAGCAGTAACTTTAGGAACACTGGGAGGTTTGTCAGATGGGAGAATACTCGGCTTGACATGCACCTTGGCAGCACCAGTAGCAGAAGGCGGGGTAGGTTTAACTTTAGGAACTCCAGTAGCAGCAGGCAGGGTAGATTTAACATCAGGAACACTTGAAAGATCTTTGACATCAGAAGAAGGTGTGACAGGAGGCTGAACTACAGGACTCGACTTCACTTTAGAAGCAGAAGAACTGGTAACAGAAGGCGATAGCGGACGCTTGGGAGCAGAGGACACAAGAGGCGTAGAAACAGTAGACGTAGAGGTGGACACAGGAACAGAACGACGCGGAGGGAGATCCACACTCCCTTCGGCTAAAACACTCTCATCGCCAGAGGCTAAGACTTCCTCACCCTCGGAGATCGAGGAACTATCATCAGACTCGTCACAGGATGCAAACTCCACTTCATTAGTTTCATCATTACTGTCCGCAACTTCAGACGATCCAACCAAAACAGACAAAGACTCCTGATACACAGTAGACGGACGACGGCGAGGTTCACGACACTCACGAGCTACGTGACCAGCTTGATGACAACGACGGCAAAGGCCGTTAAGAGGACACTCTCTAACACGATGACGATATGAACGACAAACAGCGCAAGCTTGTGGTTGACCCTGATACCACACTCGACAATCAAAACCACGGATATGAACAGTCGACGGAATGTCATTTTCCAACGTAACTTTAACCAAACGGGTGCCGTTCAAGAGACCAGGATAACCAGAGTGCTCCATCGCGGTCACATCATGTACAGTTCCATACGAGGAAAGAGCAGCTTTAACAAAAGGAACAGGAACTTCAGCAGGCAAATCCCGCAGATAAACAAGACGAGAACGAGCTGATACCGGAGAAACTGGCAGGCGATCACCACGGAAAGCGACGCCACTTGACAAGGCTGCATCGCAACTGGCAGCATCAGTAAACGTGACGCGGACAAGACCATTACGAATAAACTGCACACAGCGTACCTTTGGGACATCCACAGACTTGAGGAGCTCGGGAAGAACCACGGACTCACCAGTAGAACGGTAGACTTCAGCCGGAAACTGAACGACCAACGTACAAGGACACTGAGCAGCGTCAGACATGACAAAAAGTTAAGCCCGGACCAACGGGTCACCCAAAAATGACGGGCAACCGCAAAAACGCAGCGGTAACGTACCGCGCCCACCGAGAGGGCAAAAAACACTAAACTAGTGAGCTTTGGCGTTCCCTCCCGGCAGGTACTTAGCACTACTCACACAAAAAAACTCTAAAGCGACTTAAGAACTGCTTACTCGTACCACTGATCTTAGCCAAAAGGCCGAGAAGCGATGCCCCTTTAGGTCCTCCGGACCTAGGGTGGTTGGCTCCTTCCCCATCCTAGATATGGTGGTTGCAATACTGTCGCATCCCATGATGCATCTGGCACTCTATGCTAGGACAGGGGGATATCATTGGCTCAGTCCGAGCACAGATACTCGGCCAAGCTCTTCAGGACACTACAGTGTGTATAGACAGGGATCAAATAGCGTCTACAGGGTACCCAGGCCCTAACAGCTCGGCCATTAACCCATAGGAGGACAGGGAACACGAAAACGAGGCAGACTGGGACCGCTTACTAGGCCCTAAGGGGTTTTTAAAGCCCGCCAAGCTCCGTGTAAGTGGCCGCATCAATTTATTTACAGCTACAAAGGAAGACTTCACAGCCTGTTTTGTAGGTCAGGGTTGCCTGAGGAGGGTCATGAAGTAATGCCTCGCTTACATGTTCACCATACTCGGTATAAGAAGTCAAATTTTCTCTCTTTTCTCTCGCCTACGACCATACCACAGGGAGAACACCGGTTCTCGTCTGATCACCGAAGTTAAGCCCTGTCGGGCGGGGTTAGTACTTGGATGGGTGACCGCCTGGGAATACCCCGTGTTGTAGGCTTCTTCTTTTCTTTTATTTTTCGTGGAATTTTTTCATCATTTTTGCTGTTTTACCGCTTGCTGGAATGTACCTCTGCTGTCAGTTCCAAAGTTACGCCGAATTATCCTTCGAAGTAAACAAGTTCTGGGGTCATTTTTTTCTCATAATAATATAGCTTGGACACAGAACGCGCGTTGGTTCGAGAGCGCGCGGTAATGTTCCATTTTACTCTGTGACTTCAAATCACCGCTTGTGACATCACTTTTTTCAAATCACAGCTTCCACAAGTCTACGTTCGCCTTTCAGTGCAACTACAGGCCGAGAAAACGGCCGCGAACGCCAGAGAAACAAGCCAAAAGTCCAAATACAACACAAGACCGAGTCCGTTAGCATTTGTTATTAACGGCTCGCTCGACAGTTTAAATTAAACGCCGAAACCAGCGCCGTGCAGTACAGACCAACGAGAGAAAAGGCGAGTTAAATATACACAAGCAAACAACTTCTGAATCAAAGCTATGCTATGAGAGAAGTGTTGTACTCACGGTATAGACGGATGTTTATGATCCTGCTTGCTTGCTTTTCAACCGTCGACCATAATCCTCCTTCTTGAACATACATCTCTGGCGACTTTCACTTCACCTTTGAGAGAGTAAGACATTTCAGTCTCTACTCTACTTTTTAAATAACATACTAGCTTAGCTACAAATCAACTTCAACATATTCCAAGATAATTTACCTTCTTTCTTGGTCCCCGGAGACTTCTCTTCTTCTCTTTCTCTGTGCTGTTTTGTATCGATCGATCACCTGAATGTGAAACAATCACACGCGCGCACGTTACCAGTTGTATCCTTGGCGCGCGCGTTTTTAAATAACCTGTGGACCGCCCTAGATACAATAATTACAACTAAACCGGGGACTAGCGCGAACGCAGGTCCCCACTACCAGAAATTATACGCTCGAGTTACCCACATTTGGGGTAATCGCAAGGGTCAACCCAATCGAAGTGCAATGAGAGGGCCTCACCTTGAGAGGACTGCCTCCTTGATCACAGTGCCTCCCGCGTCAGGTAAGTATGAAAAGCTAGGACCAACGGCCGGCAGCGGAAAAACTGCTTTCCTCTTAGGGCCCTTGTGGTAACTGCGCAAGTCCAGACGGCCACAGGACTCCAGTTATGTGACCGACGGCTCGCCTAAATAGAAGCCTGACGCGGGGGACACCAGTGAGCCACAGGGTACCCAGATGTTGAAAAAACAAGCACAGGAAAAAAATATAGAAATATATGTCTCTTATTAATTGAATATTTCTTCCCCAAGGGGAAGTGGGCCGCACTCGGAGGTAGTGCTATACCGAGGCAACCCGTGGCTGGGACGAGGCAAGCCTCCTTTCCACAGCCCAATTCCAAAAATCAGTTTAATATATGAGCTGCTCAATGAGCAGCGTATCAGATATTAAGCTGATAAGAACAGATTTTTCTGTTTTAAAAATTTTATTCATAAAATCATCAGCACTAGAAACTATTTACAATCACAGAAGTCTGAGTTACTGTAAAGCTCACAGTTCAATTACATATGGTAAATCTAGTAAGATCAAGTCCATGATACACTTAACAATTCTCTTAACACAAGGAAAGCTATAATAGTAAAACAAAAATCAAAAGGAAAAGAAAAGAGTATCATTCCGGATAAAACAAAAGTTGGGCTCACCCCAAACACGTAGAAATTTCTCGCGTGAAAAACGATGAAAATCAAGTTTAACCCTCCCCTTAATAGAGTGAAGCGCATACTTAATGAGAGCAGACGCTTCCTCGCGGCCATTATGAAATGTACTCTTGTTACGAAAGGTCCAAACAGAAAATACTACGTTCTTAATTACAAAGGAAGCTATACGAAATTTCCTCGCATCGCAAGAAAAACAAAAAAAGAAAACTGTACAGACGTTTATAAGAAAATCAAAGCCGAGCAAGGCAGATAACACGGGACGGAAATGAGCCCACACTCTTTTAACTCGGGAGCAATTCAAAAAACAATGATCAATCGTTTCTCTTCTATCACACATCGCGCATTTATACGAGGAAATGTAGCCCCAATTAAACAAAGAGTCGCGCACTTTAACACCTCTAAGGGCGATCAACCAAAATAAATCATTAAGACGATTATCACAGAGGGAATCCCTAACCTTAGTCCAGTGATCGCGGATCGAGAAACCTGGACCAAGGTAAGGGACCCAAGCGCGGTGCAGAGAAGGCGGAGAAGAAACTTTATTAAGCGCGCAGTAAATAGCTTTAGATGAAGGCGGCGTATTAACAACATCAAAACGAGACATTACAGATAAACAGGATGAATAAAACGGAGTAGGCTCAGGAGAACTAGGAGCGGAATTATCCCGTAGAGATAACCATTGCGGATCAAACCTGGCTAAATGCCAGCCAACGAAATATTTACAGAGGAAAAAACACTTATCTTCAGGATCGCGAATCATCGTAAGCAAAGCGGAAACACGCAAGGAATCACATTTAAGAGGTAGATTAACAATGCCAAGACCGCCATCCGAAACATGACAGGACAAGGAACCTCGAGCAACAGTTTCAATCTTAGATCCCCACAAAAAGGGCCAGATAATCTGATTAACTCTACGGGTAACCCATTCAGGAAGCGTGAGGACACGCGCGAGATAATAAAATTTACTGAGCCCGATAACGTTAATGACTAGACTTTTACCAACAAAGGACAAAGAACGCGATTTCCACAAATTAATCGATTTCTCTAGTTTATTGATTCGGGGGAGCCAGTTATCTTCCTCAACTGGGACAACCCCGAACCAAACGCCTAGGATCTTCATCTTCTGAACCCAAGTGAGGCCAAGTGGCTGGTCCTCGCGTGACCTCCACGCACCCAGCCACATGGCCTCAGTCTTAGAACGATTTAACTTAGCTCCTGATCCTTTTTCATAAAGAGAGATAACATTAAATAACTGAATTAAAGATGAAATATTCTTCACAAAAGTTGTTGTGTCATCTGCATATTGACGAACCCGGAAATGTACACCCTTAGCACCAGGTAATAAAAAACCGGTAATAAACGAAGAAGATCTAATTAATGAGGCAAGTACCTCAACGCACAAGACATAAAGCAGAGGGGACAACGGGTCACCCTGACGAACGCCACGATTGATTTCAATTTGTTCAGTAAGATACCCGTTAAGAATTATTTTCATATTAGCACCTTTGTAGAGCGTAGAAACCCACTTGATAAAACACGAACCGAAGCCAAGGTAAGAAAGCAATTTAAACAAAAAGGAATGATTGACGCGATCAAAGGCTTTTTCCTGATCTAAACTAACAAGGATACCAGATTCATTTGTTCGGTTAATATAATCAAGGACATCGCGTAACATAGTAACATTAGAAGAGATTGAGCGACCCGGAACAGAACAGGTCTGGTCCGGGTGAACAATACTTGCCATGACACGGGAAAGTCGCAGCGTAATCACTTTTGACAGAATTTTGTAGTCGACATTTAATAAAGAAATCGGCCGCCAATTTTTTAAGTCTTTCATATCGCCACGTTTTTTAAAGAGCAAACGAGTAACACTGGTGCGAAGAGAAACAGGTAAAGACTCATCAAGAAGACATTGTTTATACAGGCGACACAACAAAGGCCCTAAAATATTCCAAAAACAGAGATAAAATTCTAGAGTAAGACCGTCAGGACCAGGAGATTTATTTAACGATAAACTCTTAACAGAAGTAGTTAGCTCCTCCAAGGAGACCGGACCGTCGCAAGAAGCAGACTCTTCGGAAGACAATTTCAAATCGAGCTGAGAAAATAAATGTTGTTGACACACAGGGTCGATCTCTTCACATGCAAATAATTTGCGATAGAAGTTCACGTGAACCTGTTCAAGGTCAGCACGTGAAGTAACCTCATTACCATTCGGATCATACATAGCGGAAACACGGTGCTTTTCAGCGCGCTCCTGTTCTAATTTAAAGAAAAATCGAGTAGGTTTTTCACCCTCCTCTAACCAGCGAGTTCTGCTTCTTAGTTTAACGCCCTCAATTTCAGTCCTAGTAAGAGCAGCGAGTTGTGCTTCTAAAGATATAATTTCGGAGCGAAACGACAAGTCACCTTGAACTAAGAAGCGCTTACAATCAATTAAGCGGTTAGTCAAGACAACCATTTCACGCGATAATTCAGC